TTTTATAAGTATTACTTTGTTATATCACCTAATTTTATATAGTCACAGCACTCCACTAAAAATTTCCGCCCATATGTTATAGCAAAATTATCATTTGGGCAGCTTTACTTAGTGACTTTATTAGTAAAATTTTGTGTTATTTTCGACCTATTCCGACCCAAATTCGGGCCGATTTGCTGAATTTTGGTGGACCCTCTAATCTACTCGTTTCCTCCTGTCGTTATATCGTCCAATTGATCGTATAAAAGGCCCACTCCATTTACCGAAGGTAACTATTATCATCCCGTACACCGTTGGAATTAAGCCGGACTATTAACTCTATTGTTTATTAGCTTCCCATCATAACCTTGAGTTTGACTTTTCAGAATATTAACTATATTTGTATTATTTTAGTAAAATTCTGAGATAAGTAATAACAATTTTCATCTTTTAGCTTTCAAGTAAAATATTCTGCATGGAATTTTAATTGTTTAATTTTATTTAATTTTATTTATTTATTTTTAACCTTATATAAAATAACGTTAAAATAAAAAATTATTTTTATCGTGGAATGTAATCTTTACTAACGGAAACGCATTATTTATTATATAATCCAGCTTGGCTTGACATCTCAATATTAGAGCCTTCCTCGATATTTTGGATATCTTCGATGTCTTCTCCACATACCCATCTTTTAAACTCTAAAATCTTTATTTCAATATAGAAATCATTTCTCAATTTTTTTATCTGTTGCCCCACTGTTAGTTGATTTGTAGCTGCAATAAAATCTTGTTCTGTCAATATAAAAGAATTATCAATTTCTCCCGTTACCGTTAAACCTTTCAGTTTATCTTGTTCAAGCAGTCTAATATGGTCATAAGAAATGTACTTTGGATTAAAACCAACCACTTGTCTTGCTAAATCCCGAGTAAATTTTGAAAGTATATCGATTATTGACTGTGAATAATTTAATTGTCCTCTTTGGAGTATTTTGTTTTTTTGGTTCACTCCTCTGACTTCAAGAACTACCAAAGCACCAATTTTCCCTGTGTATGCATCATTACCACCGTGCACATATCCGCCTGTTATCACAACCCAGCCTTCATCGTTTGCGATTCTAGATGATAATTTTTCAATGCCAAAATTCACAGTTTCGACTCTACGTATACTAATATTTTCACCCAATTTTCCAATTAATTCTGTTAAAGAATCTTTGACTGATGCAGGTTGTGAAAGATGATTAATGTCGAGTGATGATGCGGAAGGATGTGGAAATAATGGAGACAAAGATAAATGCTCAATGGGAACTGGTACGATTTTTGCTGTTATATTTGAAAGCTCAGGCGTTGATTGTGTTGGATAGAGCAATGATGTTGATGCTACCCGTGTAGCAAATTGTTGAAATAATGCGTTACGTGAAACAAAATCCGTTTCACAATTTACCTGATAAATTTATTTGACGCGATTTAAATAATCAACAATATTAAACAAATTTATTTGACATTTAATACGCGTCAAAATAAGTAAATACACAGACCTCAACAATAGCACCTCTGTTACCCAATATAAAACCTCCCTCGTTAAGTTTTCCAAACTTTTCTCCAAATTTTGAAGTTACAATTGCAATCAAACCTTCCTTTGCAGTTCTTCCTTTAAGTTTCTCGGCTTTTGCTGCACCGGTAGTCTTTGAATCTTCCAGTAACCATGCAACCGCCTTATCATAATCATTTTTATGCTTTACCAAAGCTTCTTTGGCTTTTGTGATACTAATCTGAGTTTCTTGACGTAGTTTGGCCAAAAGTTTTATGTCTGGTTTTATTGAAGAATAATCAGTTACAAAAGATCTTTGCGATAACAGTTGCAAAGCATTAAAGAGCCTATATTGCTGTGAACATATGGGCCGAAAAGCGGAGAATCTTTGATATTGATACATGATATGGATATTTTTTTTCAAAGCACATATCGATATTATTTGACGTCGAATAAAAAAAATCAGCCAATCAAATCTCTTATATTTTCATCCAATAATTTTTCACAACGGGCCGGGCAGGGCTCGGGCCTAGTTCGGGCTTATATTTTAGTCAAATTTGCAGATCGTTTGGCTAAGTCCAAAATGATTTGATTTTGAATCTGGCCAATTGATCTGCAAATTTGACTAGAGTTATAAGTAATCGGTTCTACTATTTAACTATTTAGATCACTATCAAAATTAGCCCTTACGTTATTCGGGCCGGGCTCAAGCTGGGCTTGAAAAATACCGGGTCGGGCTCGGGCTTGTTGAAAAGCCCGGGTAGGCCCGATAAACTATATACATATCAGATATGCCTAACAACCCTAACGTCACTCAAAAAAGATGGTACGTACGTACGTAGCCGTATTACTTTGCTAGCTTACAACAGAGACCATTAATGTTACACATATATTAAAACTGGTGAGGGATTATATCCATCACAATTAAATCCAACTTAAGTTAAATAATTTAATTTGTGATTGATCACAAGAGAGAGAGGTTGCATGTAATTAGGGTTGTGTTACATAATTACAATTTTACATTACATGTAATTTTAATAAGTTCCAGAAAAATCACAGTATACATCAAGTACCAAATTTACAAAAGCTCTGCTAAGCATTATTGCATCGTTTGATTTCGATTGTAATTCCTAAACCGCCAAAATTTTGATCTCAGAAACTAAATATCATGTGTTCAAAATTACAATTACATGAGATTTCAATTTACCAAATCTTACATGTAAAATTACCGAAATTTAACATCCCTATCTCTATATACTCTATATAAAGAAAATATGTTACATGTTATACTTAGAGATTTTAAAATTTCAGTAATTTTACGTAACTTTGTGTAAGATTTGGTACCGTATTTTCGCGTAATAACGCCCATGAGCGTTATTTCGAATTTTGGCCCGAATTAAGCTTAATTTAGGCCAAAATTTGAAATTACACCCCTGCGCGTTATTACGCGAAAATACGGTAAATTGAAATTTCATGTAATCGAAAAGCATCGGTACGACTAGCCAAGGGTGCCAGAAATAAATTCAATTAAAGGATGATATGCACTCAGGAAAATTAGCAAGTGAGATTATGCCAGTTATCATCGCAACAGTAGAACGAGCGTGAAGCAGCATCAGCCGGTGGTTTCCCGCTCGAAGCAGACCAACTGTTAACTAAGAAAATGGCAGAATCAGGAGACTAAAGCGTGTTACGGGAGAGGTTGGATCGAGAAATTTGTTTGTGATGACTACTGTGTTGAAATGGGGAAAAGTGTCGAAAGTCGCTTGTTGTCGGCTACTTATATATCGATCGAGGTCGATGGCTTTTCTGTTATGTATCTCTGGTTGCGTGTTGATTCATGCAATTTAACTGATTGATCGTTCTTTGATCCCGACCTATGCCTTTCGTCTTGTGATCTAAGGGCAGGGTTGTAGCACACGGCGTGTAACTCCTTGACAGTTCTTCCTTTCTTTTCGATCCGTTGACCCTTGTCAACATTTGGATTATATATTAATGCCATATGGGTATATAGATAGAGGTAAAATTTATTTTCAAATTTTTTAAAATTTTATACATATAATTTCAACATTTTAGTCACTATTTTATTTCAGTTTAAATTATTTAAATAATTCTTAATATGACAAAATTCAATTATAATTTTCAGTCACCAATTTCAACATTAATCAATTTTAATAATTTTTTTTTATTAAGGGTAATTTTACCACCATTTATATAGACATATAAAACTTTAGGGTTGGAGGCACGAGGGTTAGAGGCATGCCCTTTGAACAAAAGGCATGCCTCTATCATGTGATTAATAACTAATATATGATTGGTTAATTTAATAATTGACCAATCAGAATTAATACCTGCTATGCTAATTACAATAATATATATAGAGGAGAATGCCCCAAAAATTTGCCGTGCCTCCAACCCTAGTCCATATGTTAAAGGTCGAAATTGAATCCTAGATGTTGAACGTAGCATAAAAAACCAATGTAAATAGCCATTTAACAAATATATGGTACAATTTCACTTTAATATAAGCTAAAATTTCAATATGTACATACATTCCAACTACATAAAATAAACCTGCGCTAACATAATTTTAATATACAGTATATCTATCCTAGCTCATCAAATTTTAGATTCTTCAGATAACCACCATTTAACGCCAGTATCTTTTTTTGTATAATCCAACCCTGTACTTAATGCGTCAAATAAAGCTTTCTTCATTGCTCGTTTTCTAATCCTATCTTGCTCTGTCTGTATAAAATACTTAATTTTTGTCAACAAAGTTTCCAACAAAACAAGATTAACAGACTGAACTTGGTCAATCAATGTTAAAAGTAAATGTTCTCTATGAAGATGTGAAGCAGGTGTATCCTCGATCCTTTTTATTAGTTTTTCTAAACATGAAAAAGTTAATGCATCATCTGTATTTGACAAAGACTTGATAACGGTAGTATAGGCAACTCGTAGTTGAGACTCATGAATGAGTGTTGGATAACTCTCGAGTAACAGGCTGCAATAGAACGGTGCTGATTCATTGGCCATCCTCTTCAAATTGGAGAATATGGCAATCATTGCAGAATGTGCAGACTCGAACAAATTAATGTCAGAATTGTCCTGGAGATATCTATATATAACATAAGTAATGTTATAAATAATATACTGTAATGTGCATAATAAATAATGCAATTTAGAGATATTTACGGATAAATAAAAGGCAAAACATTTTGCTCCACGGTGTCATCATCTAACGCCCTCATAAGATTTTCTATCACCAACAGATAGTAAGTTATTCTACTTCTTTGTGTTGGTGTGTTTCCAAACGGTGGTCTGCAACTCTTGATAATAAATGTTGGTTCTGTCTCATCATCTAAAACCCTATCCAGGACTGAACGAAACACTTTCTTATGTCCAGGAAAACCCTCTAAACTAAATCGAGATGTTATGAAATATAGATAAGAATACGTATTAATGATCAACATTCTTTCTAAATACGTTTTTGATCAAGAATCAATTGAGTAAATTAGTTGTTAATGTAAAATAAAAATAAAAAAAATATTACTAATGACACTAACCTTGTCTTCCGTAAATTTTAGGTTGAAGAAATGATCTGTCAATAACATGTATGAATATCATTGTCACAGAAAAAATGCATTGCTTGAAAATTTGCCACAAAAGGGGCATAGCTTCCTTCGTTTCCTCATCTTCAAAAAAAAAAAAGTATATATACTAGTTAAATAATATAACTAAGTTTTTTTTAACATTTGGGTTTTGATAATCATTATTATACCAACCCATCTATTCCCAGTTTAACCGAGGTTTAAATGGTTGGTATAGCAAAATAATGATAAGTTCCAAACATATAAAAGAACAAAATACGCAGAAATGATAAGCATTTATGTAACTAGCACAAACATACAAAACTACCTAAATATTCTCCCTTTTCGATTAAGCTCAAAGGACATAACTCCCACCGCGTAAATAAGAGGTAAGCGAAAAAATGAATACTATAAGGAGATATAGAACAATAAGAATTTGAAGCAATAAATTCACGTTCGCAAATTAAATATATACTCTGATAGTAGAATAGAGATGTCCTCTTTTTCAACAACTTGAACTAATTTAGACATCCCTAAAAATATTTTAGGTTGTTCTTTAAAAAGAATGCCAGAACACATTGCATGAAGGGACTTGTATGATGGGGTGGATCTCTATATGATGGGAAAACATTACAATAAATATATGGAAAATAAGGAAGTAAATTTGAGAAGTAACGGAGGCTAAAATATTCACAGTCCATTTGTTTGTCAAATTGCCCTCATTATCACGCATATCATCTATGACACGATTAATGAACACACCGCTTTGAAATACACGTGGGCCACCAAATTCGACTCGAAAGACAATTCGTAATACGATTCCCTATAATATTTCGAGTTTAGAAACGAATGGAAATTATAAATCGAATAAAGTTATAAAACTTTGTAACCTTTGATCTAAGTTTTGCTATTTGTGAATGAGGGATTGATGGGAAACATTGCCCACATATATATGTGATTATTTCTTTTTTCGAATCTAAAGTATAACAAGCAGATTAGTTTAAATGATGAATGAATAATGATTATAATGTAATAAAAAACGGCAACCTTCTTTATGTTGACCAATTGTTTCAACAAGATCTAATGACTGATCCCCTTTGATAAAATCAACTTGTGCATCAATGCTAGCCAAAAGGGCATCCTCGACTTCAGCAATAAGATCACCTATTATATGCCTTTTGCTCTGAGGCTTTATCATTTGATACCCTTTCCTTTATTAATAAAGATAACTATAAGATAATGCTTTCAATAACAAAATATCAAACAAATTAGCGATAGTAAAATCTAAAAAAAAAACCTACAATAATCCACCCAGACAAATGACTCCAAGAAATTCTTGCTTAAGAAACACCTGAATCAATGTCCTAACCCATTCTACCTTTTCTTTCTTTTCAACGTCCTTTGACCCGATTTTCATAAAACTAGTATAGTAAAACATATAAAATAACGTAAACCCTGAAGTGAAATCATAATCTTGGCTTGCATTACGTTGTGAAGAAAGAAAGTCAGTAGCTAGGCGTTCAAGATAAGTAATATTTGAGGAAGGGCTAAGAAGTAACTTGATTACGTCTTTATAAGGACCTCTATATTGTGGTACGATATGTGGCTCGATTAGAGGATTTTTGGTGTTTGCAGTCATCTAAAAAGAAGCTGAGTACGCACGTATAGGGATGCGCCTCAACTAATAGTGACAAAGGTTATTTAATGATTTTCATATTTGCAGATTTTTAAGTTAAAGTACGCGTTTACTAATTTCCCCAAGTTTCTGATCTGGCCAATCAGAATTCAGGATCAGGACAACAATCATTTTTTCATTTATTTCAAAATTTCGTCTAAGAAATCACCTTTTGGGCACTAACAAAAAAAATTTCTTGCAAAATTTAGTAAAAAGTAGTTTACTAATGCTAACTTCAAGCTTTAACTTAGGTGTTATATTTTAATAAAAAGTGATATATAAATTGGTGTAAATAATTCCAGCCAACAGAAACTTGAAGAGAATTAGTAAATGCACCTAGTATAATTACATAAACACTTTTGGACACTTTTTACTTAAAATTATATTATATTAGCATCTAAAAAAATATATAATTATATAGTCGTCTTCTATTAATATTAATTCTGTTAATATTAACCTAGGCTATACAATAAACTTTTATATATGAGTGCTGCCTTATAAGCATCAATAAGGTGAGTTTACTCTAAGAAAATTGTGATATGATATCTTAAATCATTGTATATAATCAATGTTTTGATTGTTTCTATATTATGTGCACTTGTTACTATTTAACAGATTTAGATTAATAAAAATTTTAATAATACTGATTGTATACAATGATTTAATATGTTATATCACAATTTTTCAAAAGTAAACTTGTTTTATTAATGTCTCAAAATTGGCTTACAGGTATTCTTTGGCAGCATTCATATTAAAACTATATTGAAATTCTTTTATATATGGGCTTGATGCTGCAAAAAGAGGGTAAATTGACAAAAAAAAAGATTTTCAGAAAATCAATTTTTTTTTTTTTTTTTTTTTTTTTAAAAAAAAAATCTTCAAAGGTGGAAAATCAATTTTTATGTTACAAATTTTATAATAAATTATAAGAAATTACAAATTTTAAAGAGTTATATTGAATAATTTTATTAATACAACTACTTTTGTATCTTAAGTAAAAAATAATCTTGATAATATTCTAAATTAATTTATATAAAAAAATTAATTTTTAAAAATTTATCAATTTACTCCCTTTTTGCAGCACCAAGCCCATATATTTATCTCTATTAATATAAATATAAGAGTGATTTACACTTCACCAACCAGGCCGCCAGAGCTGAAGGAAAAGGATTTGCTTGTCCTCAGAATATCAGAGGACTGGTAAATCTACGAGTGAAAGTTTTCTCTGAGTCAACTAGATTGGGAGTTTGGGATGCCGAACAACAGGTGTTTGAGAAGACACCCTACCAACCTGGTTGCCAGAACTGAAGAAAAAGAATCTGCTTAACCGCAGAATACCAGAGAATAAGTAAACCTGCAGGCAAAAGTCCTTTCCAAGCCATCTGGATTGGTAGTTTAGAAATGTTAAGGGTATTGGTAATAGTCTGTAAAGTGGATATTGGGGTTTGAGTGAACTCTACAAGGGCAGAAGTAGGTAATGGTAGCGGCCTCAGTTTGCAAATACTTGTTTTCAAACTCGGCATAAGTTACTAAAGTCTAGGTTAGCCGGATTGTAAGTATAGAAAGCTCTAGCAACGATGCCTCAAAGATAAATTAGTCCTAAGACTATAGTAAGCATCTGGTACTTCTTGACTAACAAATATAGCAGAGATGTCTTAGTTATAACAAGTGAGGGTTTGGTTGCATTACAGAGAGTTTAAATAGGTAATTTCCTAGTTGGATTATAGGTATGACAACTAGTGTAAAACTTATAGTGTAATACTGATATGCAAACTATATTCAAAAGACGTATATGTGGCTAGTTGTACTCTCTAATATAATTCAGAGTTTCATTGTGAGCCTTTCACTCCCAATATACTTGAATAAAAACCCCCATGCCAAAGAGGCTAGTTAAAAAAATAAAAAATAAAAAATAAAAAAAATAAAAATGATTCAAATAGGTTAAAATTAATGAGAAATAACTATTAATTATTTAAATTTGAAATATAAGCTTAGGTGATTTTAAAAAATTTTGAATGTTGGATATTAGACAAAGTGTAAACACATCTTATATACAACACTTCTAAGTAAATAATATCAGAAAATTATAAAAAAAAAGAAAAATTATAAATAGTGATCCATCACCATAACGATCCTTATATGATTGGCCAATCATTTTTAAGATTGCTAATCATATAAGGTAAATGAGGGTATTGTGACGAAGGGGGGTATTGTGACGAACTATTAATTTTTTGACTTCCCGTTAATAAAATACCAAATTATATAAACAAAAAATAAACATTCGATCATCTGCATGCGAGTAGCGCGCGTTTAATTGTTGTGCTTTTAATTATTGTGCATTTAATACTTCTTTTAGAGCTTGTATTACTTCAACATAATATTCAACGTAATAATAAAAGCTATAAAAAAATGTTGTTAGTTACATTGTATATGTTATATTTGCACAGTTATCAAGTCTCTTTACAACGTTCGTCTGTTTTATTTTATACGCGCATAATTCTAAACTTACTAGTTGTGCTACATTAAGATTAATTACTAAACCGGGCCTTCACAAATTCATTTTACCAATTGCATATTTACATTCAAGTGCTGCCAAGTGAAAATGGAACTCTGGGCTTTCAATCATGTTTTGTGCCGGGCTCAATCCATCAAATTTATTAAAGATTATGTTGGTACAAAATACAATTGAGAGTTCGAAACCCATTTTCCCTTGGCGTCACTTATTTATTAACATATTTTATTTATTCATTTATTTATTAATTTTTTTAAATTAATCACGCATATTTTATTTATTATTATTAATCCCGTATTTTATTATTGGTTATACTTTTCTTTGCATCAAACTAATCATGTTTTTTTTTTAATTACAGAAATTACTTCAGCATGCCGCAAGTTTCTTATATTAATCGACAAGATAAAATTTCCGCTGCTCTTAATGAATTAAATAACTCTGCCAACCCCAAACGCCCAAGTATCAACAGCGTAGCAAAAGATTTTGGGCTTTCTGAAGCTACTCTTCGACGTGCAGCAAAAAATGGTGGTCCCCCCAAACGTCGTGGTCCCTCTACTATCTTAACAAAACATGAGGAAAACCAGCTCGTTGGCTATTGCATAAATATGCAACGGCTTGGATTTGGTTTAACTAAATCTGGGGTTAATCATTGTGTAATGGAAATTATGGACCACAATAAAAGACTACATCCATTTGGAGATAAAGGGCCAGGTCGGGACTGGTGGACCCGTTTCATGAGAGACCACCCTGAACTATCATTCCGTACCCCTCAAGAATTATCCGAAGCTCGTGCGCAAAGAGCCAATGCCACTATCATTAAAGATCATTTTGATAAACTTAAACAAATCATTAATGAAAACTCACTTACCGCGCTGCAGGTTTGGAATATGGATGAAACAGGGTTTGTTCTCGTACCTAAGTTGGAAAAAGTTCTTGCAAAAAAAGGCTCACGCCAGGTTCATAAGGTTGCGCATGGAAATTCTCATGAACATATCTCAGTTGTTCCAACAATCTCAGCCGCAGGATCATGCATTCCACCTTTAATTATCTATAAAGGTTCTCGCGCAATTCCCGGTTTGTTACAAGGTGCACCTCCTGGAACAGTAATGGGTTTTACAGACACGGGGTACATGCGCGAGCACCTTTTTAAAATGTACCTTACCCACTTTATTAACTCAATTCCGCCAATTCGCCCAATCTTACTAACGCTTGATGGTCACAAAAGCCATGTTAGCTATTCGTGTGTTGATTTTTGTCGCCAAAATGGAATTCTTCTTTATGCATTTCCACCTCACACGACGCATATTTTACAGCCATCCGAAATTCCTTTTGCAAAATTAAAAAAGGAGTTTGGGAAACAATGTGACAATTATCATAATACTACTAGCAAAGTAGTAACAAAACATACCTTCGCGAAACTCTTTGGTCCTGCTTTTATTGATACTTACACGCCTTTAGCTATCTGTAATGCCTTTAGGGCTACAGGGATATGGCCCTTTAACCCTAAAGCTATTAGCCCAGACCGTTTGGACCCTTCCCTAGCAACAGAACGTTTTGATATTATGCTTTCGTCTGATCAACCTTCACAACCCACCATTATACCTTCGTCTGATCAATCCTCACGACCTATCATTGTACCTTCGTCTAGTCAATCTTCACAACCCGTCATTATATCTTCGTCTAGTCAGTCTTCACAACCAATCATATTACTCTCACAATCGACTCCTAAGCCAAATCACCCTTATTATACTCGCACAAATTTCACCCAGTTAATAACAGAAAATGAAACACTTAGAAATGAGATTGAATTACTAAAAACTCAATTTACAGCAACCAAAGAAGAATTAGAAACCTATAAAAGCCCCGGAACAAGTTCCTTACGTTCGGTTCTCAGGTATAATTTTCCTCGTGCCCCGCAAGCTGAGACTTTGGACATTCCTTCAGAAATTCGACAAGAATCTGGCCCCTCTCCTAAAAAAAGAAAGACACTTCCGTTTGCACAACTTCTCACCAACGATGAAAGTTGGCAGAAGTTGAAAGAAGCAAATGAAGAAACTGAAAAAAAACTTGAGGAAGCTAAACAGAAAAAAGAATTAGCGGCCCAGAAAAAGATGGAACGGCAGCGAAATTTGGAGCAAAAAAGGGAAGAGCGTGAACGAAAAAAGCGAGAAAGAGAAAAGCGTCAATCTAAAAAATAAAAAAAGTGTTTAGAGAAATAAATAGAATAAATAGAATGTTTGAAAAATAAAAAATATTATGTCGTATGTACGTACGTACGTACGTAATTAAGCGAAAAAATTTTTTTTCAATTTCGTCACAATACCCCCACTACCCCTAAAATCCGACTTTTGTGTTCCGTGCACAAAACGATCTGTACATCTAAACTGGTTTGCTGAACCACGATAATTTATATTGAATCTGTTTTATAATGAGCCGCGGTTTATATTAAAAC